ACCAATCAAAAAAGCACACATTTTCGACATTTTTCGAAAAAAAAAAGGTGGGGGGAGATTCGCGAATATCCCCCCACCTTGTTTCCCCACCAATCATCGACTAGCCAATGGTGGGGAAAGCTACAAACTACCAACCAATCAAAAAAGTACACATTTTCGACATTTTTCGAAAAAAAAAAAGTGGGGGGAGATTCGCGAATCTCCCCCCACCTTCTTTCCCCACCAATCATCTACCCTATGGTGGGGAAAGCTACAATATACCAACCCATCAAAAAAGCACACATTTTCGAAATTTTTCAAAAAAAAAAAAGGGTGAGTCAGTTCGTTCATCAGACTTCAACGGAAGTCTGATGAACGAACTGACTCACATAGACTGACTCACATAGCATCACTCCACACACATACAATTGTGAGGTAGTGGGGTCTGAGCCATACATAGAAGATGCTCAGCCCCGTACACACATACACAGATGAATGGGGGACGAGAGACGAAGAGGTGGGGGGAGGTAGACAGCACCGAAAGTCACCGAGATAGAATCTGATAGGTCACCGATATGGTAGTCCAAAATGTCATCCAACAAGATCAAAATGTCGAGGACCATAGGTCACCAATGTCGGGGATACAGAGTCCAAATGTAACCGGTGTCTGAACTGTGATGTCGCCAAGTATCAACCCCAACGATCTCCAAGTCTCCAATCCGGTAAGTACCACAGTCTCATACCACCAAAGTCCAACACTGATCTCTGTCCAACTAGTATAGGTCTCCGGTCTGAAGAAGAAGAAGAAGAAGAAGGAAAAGAAGAAGAAGAAGAAGAAGAAGAAGAACAGAGAGACAGAGCGAGAGAGAGAGAGAGAGAGGGAGACGAAGGTGAGGAGGAGGGAAAGGGACCGAGGAGGGAGGAAGAGATCCCCGCCTCCTGGTACCTGCAGCTGCTGCTGCTGAGGCGGCGATGGCCGCCGTGTTGCTGCTGCTGTCCTCGCTCGCTGCTGCCGTTGCGCTAGGTCGCTCTGCTGCTGCCCTTCGCTCCTGCGCTAGGAATAGCGCTCAAACGGCGCTCTGGCGCCGACCTTACCGCACCGCGTAGAATACTGATGGGTCGATCCTGGACTGAGGCTGGACCGGTTCTAATACCGGTGGGGCAGAGGCCGGCCTCACTGCTGCGAGGCCTGGCCGTGCCCTGAACCGTCCAGATGGACGGTTCAGCCCCAACCGGCGGGCGGCAGCCTCAAGAGCGCCGCCAGGCCCAAACGATAATGTCGTTTCGGCCTGCCCGCGGGTCTGGTCCAAGGTGAGGCCTTTATGGCCTGTAGTACCCCCAAGGTCGGGCCTTTAGGCCCTAATGTGTCCCTCTAGCCCTAAGTCGGGTCAGGTAGGACCCGTGTGGCGTCGAAGATGTAACACACTCCCACTCTTAAAAGACCGAGCTACCTGCGAGGGCGAAGTTGTCTGTCTGATACCGGGGTGGGTCGGGCGGGACGAGCTGCGTCCTTAGCAAGGCGTCGCTTCTCATAGTCGGCGAAGATAAGGGGTGCAGAAGTCTGCAAATCTGTACAAGTGATCCACCGAGTGTCATCAGGCGCACATTGCTTGAATGTGACTTTGTACTGCCTTGGCTTGTTGCCATACTTGCGGTGCGTGATGACTCGGTCCACTTCCTGATGTCCGTCCATGGAGGGCGAATCCTGTGATCGACGTCCGGGAAACTCGTCATTTGAAGGTGGCGTGTAGATGGCCAGCTTCGATGCTTGGAAGACCCGATGCACTGTCAGGTGCGGTGGAATGTTGATCACGAAGGAAGGACCTGCGGGATCGTCTCCAATGGCAGAAGTGACTTCCCATGGTCCGAACCATTTCGGAAGGAGTTTGCGCGAAACGTCCTGCTCGAGCGCAAATTCCTCGGAGAGGACCCAAACAAGGTCTCCCTCGCGGAAAGGACATGGAAGTCGACGTCGGTTAGCTTGCTGCTGCATGCGGATCTGAGCCTTTTGCATATTTATGCGGGCTTTGATCAGCAAGTCCCGGTACTTCCGGACGGAAGCGGGAGAGCAAGGGACGTCTATGTTGGCAGCCTGTGGCAAAAGGAGATCAGCGAAGATCCGTGCTTTCTCTCCACCATGATGTAACTCGAATGGTGTGACGCAGATCGCCGGGTACACCGAAGTGTTATAGGCGAACTCGATGTCGGGAAGCCGGTCAACCCAATCTTTCTGGTCGGGCGTACGCAACATCATCTTAGCGGTCTGGTGCGCTCGTTCCGTCTGACCATCCGTCTGCGGGTGCCGAGCCGAGCTCGGCTTCATTGTCGTGCCGGACTCTGACATGAAACGAGTATCTCGGTCGCTCACTATGTCTTCCGGAACACCTTGGTTGGTAATCCAACCGGTGTGCAAGAGTCGTGCGAGCTCAGGCGCTGCTGCATGATACTTGCAAGGAAGGAAGCGAGCATACTTGCTCAAACGGTCAACGACCGTGAGAATACCATCATGGCCGTGGCGATCGCGGGGAAACGGGCCTGTCACGTCCATAGCAATGGAGAGGCGTGGTGCCCGAGGAATCGGCAACGGTTTCAATTCGCCGAAGGGGACTCGAGATCGACCCTTGTTTCGGTGGCAAACTGCACATGACTCAATGTACCTCGTGACGTCATAAATGATGTCGGGCCAGTGAAAACGCTGGCGGAGGCGTGCTAGTGTGCGGTTCACGCCAAGGTGTGCCGAAAGTCGTGCGTCAGGGAATTCGCCGAGAAGACGAGTCCGTAAGATGCGATCTTGGGGCACAACTAACAAGTCTTTTCCTCTCGTGTGAAGGAGAAGAAACCCGTCGGAAATCCGATAGTGGCTAGCCAGCGGGTGATCCGATGAAAGCTCCGCGTAAAGCTTAGAGTAAGTCGGATCGGACTTGTAGCCTTTGACGAAATGCGGCTGCAGATCGTCATCGAGGTCCGATGCCGTAGTCACAATGGCACAAAAGTCGGGCCGTCGTGAGAGGGCGTCCGTAGCTCGATTGGCGGGACCGGGAATGTGGCACGGGTCAAAATCGAACTGGTCGATGT